AGGACTTTGTGGACTGGTGTTGGGTATGGGTTAATGTTGGACTTGTGGGCTTGGGCAGCATTGGGTTGGGATGTTTTCATGATGCACCTTTTCTTTACATAAAACTCTCTCTTATACATGAGTCACTGTGGATTTGTTTCTCCAAAGTACCTAGACTTATATACCGTTTCCCCCCAACCTCCCATGCCATACCCCCAAGGAACCATTAATCCAGTTACTAATCTACACAGATTTACCTATCCTGGATTTCATATACAGAAAAACATTTTTTAAGAAAACTAACAATAGCAAATTAAAACAGATAAAAACCTCAATCAAAAAGAAAGCAAAAAATATTCAAAACTGCAACATATTTAAAAGGATTATAAAGGAGATCAAATGATAAAGACCTAAATTTTAACCTAACTGTACCTGTAACAATCCACTTCCCAATGCATGCTGCGTGATAGAAAAGGTGCTCACACCCCTGGTCCCTGGTCAGAGGGGATTCACCAGGCCTTAATCCATGTGTATTTCCCCTTTACATCTTAAAACCTGAAATAGTTTTATGATGGATCAAAAAGGAGATCAAATGACAAGATATTACCTTTTAACCTGTGTCTGCCATAATTGACTATAAAGTGTCTTCTGTCTGGTAACAGATCTATTCACATTCCTCAACTATAATCAGAGGGGATTAACCAGAGGCTTAATCCATGGGGGACCCAGAAAATGGATTATGGGCTTCATCTATAGCGTTCTGCAAATCAAGTGTTAACAATTTAAGCTCTGATACAATTCCCTTCTTTAGATTTGGATTTTATTATTTACAATCCTTGACTCACACAGGTGTGCTTCTCTCATGATACCTCACTTAGATGACTGCTTGCTTGAAAACAAATCTTAAAGACCCCAGATGCTGTTCTTTCGGATAGTCGGACACCATCTAGTTTTGTCTCCACACTTTGCTTTAGCATCTTTATCTTCGGTGTATATGGAAATGTCTGGTATCATTTTTTGCTTCCTGAAGACTATTTTGTCATTCTTGAAGAGAGGTCTGTGATAAATGCACTCAGTGTATGTTTTTCTGAGATGGTCCTTATGTCTTCTTCATCTTTGAAGGATAATTCTGCTAAATGTAGAATTCTAGGTGAGCAGCTTATGTTGGTCTATTCTCTTCTTGCTTGCAGGGTTTCTGGTATTCTTTTCTTCCCCTATTTTTAAAACTGTTTTATTGACATATAATCACATGTCATACATTATAATAGTTCAATCATATTACAAAGAATTGTGTGATCATCACTACAATTAATTTTAGAACATTTTTCTTTGTATTCAGGGTTTAACTTCCTGTTTCTGCCCAACCTCCTCTACCATGCCCCTAGGAAACTCTTACCCTATATCCTGGTGTATAAGCCGAGTTTTTCAGTATGTTTTTATGCAGTTTTTGTGGTAAAATAAGGTGCCTCGGCTGATATTCGGGTCAGCTTTTACTCAAGTATATACAGTTATCTAGTTACTGTCTCTATAGATTTACCTGTCCTGAATTTCATACAGAGAAAAAAACATACAAAATCACAGTACAGCAACAACAACAAAACCAACAATGAGAAAATAAAACAGAAAAACCACGATCAAAAAGAAAGCACAAAATATTAAACACTGGAACAAGTATGCATTGGAACAAAAGGGAAATCAAGCGACAAGGAGTCACATTCTAACCTAACTGCAACTGCAGTAAGCCGCCCTATAACGCACTCTGTCTGATAACAAGGCCATTCTCATCCTTGGCTCATAGTCAGAGAGGATCCATCCACGGCTTAACCCTGAAAATGAGTTTGGGGCTTTCACAGTCATTCCTAGCCTTCAGCAAACCAGATGTTCAAAATTTAAGCTCTAATACTGTTCCCGCTTCTGGATTTAGATTTTATTATTTACAATCTTTGAATCATACAGGCTGTTGTGTTTATTCCATGTGGACTTATCTGATGTCTCACTTGGAAGGCTTTTTGTTTTTAGGTTTCAGGGTTGTTGTTTATTTAATTATTTTATTGGGGGCTCGTACAGCTCTTATCGCAATCCATACATACATCCATTGTGTCAAGCACATTAGTACACATGTTGCCATCATCATTTTCAAAACATTTTCTTTCTACTTGAGCCCTTG